AGAAATGCAAATCAAAACAACAATGAGATACCATCTCATGCCAGTTAGAATGGCAGTCATTAAAAAGTCAGGAAACAACAAATGCTGGAGAGGATGTGGAGAAATAGGAATGCTTTTACACTGTTGGTGGGAGTGTAAACTAGTTCAACCATTGTGGAAGACAGTGTGGCGATTCCTCAAGGATCTAGAACTAGAAATACCATTTGACCCAGCAATCCAGTTACTGGGCATATACCCAAAGGATTATAAATCATGCTGCTATAAAGACACATGCACATGTATGTTTATTGTGGCACTATTCACAGTAGCAAAGACTTGGAACCAACTCAAGTGTCCATCAATGGTAGACTGGATTAAGAAAATGTGGCACATATACACCATGGAATACTATGCAGCCATGAAAAAGGATGAGTTCGTGTCCTTTGCAGGGACATGGATGAAGCTGGAAACCATCATTCTCAGCAAACTATCACAAGGATAGAAAACGAAACAGTGCATGTTCTCACTCATAGGTGGTAACTGAACAATGAGAACACTTGGTCACAGGGTGGGGAACATCACACATTGTAGGGTGGGGGGGCTGGTTGGAGGGATAGCATTAGGAGATATACCTAATGTAAATGACGAGTTAATGGGTGCAGCAAACCAACATGGCACATATAACAAACCTGCATGTTGTGCACATGTACCCTAGAGCTTAAAGTATAATAATAATAAAACAAGAATTGTAAGACATTTATGGCAAAAAGTATGAAACTTTATTGATTTATATGAAAGACCACACGAAGTGTATATGTGTCTCAATAGTGAGATTAAATTTCATAATGCTGTTTCTCTTAATTTCTTCCAAATTAATTTGTCAATCTAATTAATATCTTTTTAAAAAGCAACTGAGAAGCTGACTCTAAATTTCAGTGGGGAAAATGAACTATTTAGTATATGATGCCAGAGAATGTTTATTATTCATCTGGAAAAAAATAAAATTATATACCTTTTTTTTTTGTCTTTTGAGGAACAACTCTTTAATTAGTCTTTATCATGCTTGCTTTTTCTTTTCTTTTAGCCACCAGAAAACATTGGGAACAGAAAAAGACACAAAGTAAATAGATTGGCAAATATTTCTATTCTATGACTCATAGAAGTTGCTGCCATCAGGTATTCCCAGATATAGTGCAAAGTACTTCACATGTCTTACCTGATTTAATTCTTTTAAAAACTATCTAAAGATGTTCTGTGTTATCTCTTTTGATCAATGAGGAAGCTGAGGCTTAGAAAGGAAAAGGAACTTGTCCAAGCCTCACAGCTAGAGACTGACCTATAGTTTAAGTCCTGACTTGTCAGGACAAAATGCTTAATTCCTGTTACATGTTGCCTGTATTTGCAGACATAGGACCCACTGCAAATTGGCATGTGATACCTGCTCATGTGCTATGACAAAAATACTAAGATGCCTAACTATGATTTGTGCCACCCTCCCATAGCATAATATTGATGTAGATAAATGTCTACCCGTTGTCCAATTCCCCCATATGTATAGGTGTGGCTATGATATAGATAGGTTTTTTTTTTAATTATTATACTTTAAGTTCTAGGGTGCATGTGCACAACGTGCAGTTTTGTTACATATGTATGCATGTGCCATATTGGTGTGCTGCACCCATTAACGCGTCATTTACATTAGGTATATCCCCTAATGCTATCCGTCTCCCTCCCCCTCCCCACAATAGGCCCTGGTGTGTGATGTTCCCCTTCCTGTGTCCAAGTGATCTCATCGTTCAATTCCCACCTATGAGTGAGAACATGCGGTGTTTGGTTTTCTGTCCTTGTGATAGTTTGCTGAGAATGATGGTTTCCAGCCGCATCCATGTCCCTACAAAGGACACGAACTCATCCTTTTTTATGGCTACACGGTATTCCATGGTGTATATGGGCCACATTTTCTTAATCCAGTCTGTCACTGATGGTCATTTGGGTTGATTCCAAGTCTTTGCTATTGTGAATAATGCTACAATAAACATACGTGTGCATGTGTCTTTATAGCAGCATGATTTATAATCCTTTGGGTATATACCCAGTAATAGGATGGCTGGGTCAAATGGTATTTCCAGTTCTAGATCCTTGAGGAATCGCCACACTGTTTTCCACAATGGTTGATATATACCTACTTTTTACCACACATAAAAATTAATTACAGGTGATTGTAAGACATGAATGTATAAAGCAAAATATTTTAAACTTTTTGAAAAATAGAGGAGTATTGCTATATTCTTGAGACATCACAGAGCATCTTGAGATATAAAGAACCCAACCACTAAGGGAAAATATCTCTCTGTCAGTCTATCTATCTAAATTTTGAACTATGCCCAAAAGGTTTCATAAACAAAGTGACAAAATAAGCCACAAAGGATATATCTATGTAAAAGACAGTCTACTAATTAATAGGCTTAGAATTCAACCCAATAGAAAAATAGGCAGAGGTTAGGAACATGCAATTTATGGGAGAGAAACTCTCATGGCCAATAAATAAATGAAAATAAGTTTAACTTCACTATAAAAGCAAATGTAAACAATGGGCTACCATGACTCATCAGAGTCAGAAAAATTTAAATATTTGACAGTATTAAACATTGCTGAAGATGTAGGAAATGGGAGTTCCTTCACTCTGAGGAGGGATTATAAATTGATGTAATCACTTTTGAGAACATTTATATCAAGTTGTTAATGGACATACCTGATGATCCTAATTTCCATTTCTAGAGATATGTCTTTGGGAAACTCTCACACATGCTTACAAGAAGACATAAGTGTAAAAATGATTATTCAAGCCTTGCTTATAACAGTTAATCACTGGAAATAAATAATAGGAGGGTAGATAAATACATTATGGTATTTTCATACAATGGAATATTACACAATAATTAAAAGGAATGAATTAGCTTTTTGGGTATTAAAATGGATAACTCTCAAAAATATTGAGGCAAAAATCAAGTTACTAAAGGATTCTGTAATAAATTCGTTAACAGCATGGATTTTACAGCCAGACTACCTGAGTTAAAACTCCAGCTTTCCATTAACTTGACTATGTGACTTGGGCAAATTATATAACCTTTCTGTGCTATGGTGTCTTCATCTATAAAAATGAGGATAATAGTAATATTTAAAACACTATATAAAGGAAAAGGAGAGACCCAAATCAGTATTTGGCAGTGTTCCCTAACACTATTCAAGGAAGGTTATATTGTGACTGGTTGACATGAATATTGCCATCTTTTTGGTAGGTATTTTCCAATGTGTGGGAATAGGTGTATACTCTATTAAGACTTGATGATACATTCTAAAATATTCTGTTTCTTCATTCTGATTGTATGTCACCATGAAACCTTATTTAGAGAGGGGATTCCTAAGCTAAGTGTTGCAGGTGCTCCTGGTTTCTTCTTGCTGCTTATAGGAAAATACCAGAGGAAAAATAAATTGAGAAAAGGATAATTTGGGAAATTCCAAGCCTGTCTATATGGCAAAGACATGAAAATTAAGATTCACTGTCAGAAAAGCATGCTTCAGAGAAAAAACTGAGTATATGACTCTACAACCTTCTGTTGACACGTTGGATCAAAAAGTTCAGAGTGGCTGGGTGCGGTGGTTCATGCCTGTAATCCTAGCACTTTGGGAGGCCAGGGAAAGACTGCTTAAGCCCAGGAGTTCCAGACCAGCCTGGGCAATATACTGAGACTCTGTCTCTACAAAATGTTTAAAAAATTATTGGCTAGGTGCGGTGGCTTATGCCTATAATCCCAGCACTTTGGGACGCTGAGGCGAGTGGATCATGAGATCAAGAGATCAAGATCATCCTGGCCAACATGAGGAAACCCCATCTCTACGAAAAATACAAAAATTAACTGGATGTGATGGGGCATGCCTGTAGTCCCAACTACTCCAGAGGCTGAGGCAGAATAGCTTGAACCCGGGACACATAGGTTGCAGTGAGCCGAGATCGTGCCACTGCATTCCAGCCTGGCAACAGACAGACTCTATCTAAAAAAAAAAAAAAAATGATCTGGGCATGCTGGCATGAGCCTATGGTCCCAGCTACTCGGGAAGCTGAGGTGGGAAGATTGCTTGAGCCCAGGAGTTCGAGGCTGCAGTGAGCTATTCATGCCACTGCACTCTAAACTGGGCAACAGAGAGAGACCCTGTCTGAAAAAATAGTTTAGAGAATTTAGACACAAGAGATTAAGGGAATGACTGGGGTTATCCCTTTATCACACCAGGAAGCCTCTAGAAAGCTTAAGAGTATTGTCCCTCTGTGCAATAAAGTGAATTGCAGTAAAAAGAAGTATGTATGTCCTTGTGGGCAAGTTCAAACAATGATCTTTGATTTAATTTTTTAAAAATCAATCTGAAAAAAATTTAAAGATGCCTTCCATATCCTTCTTGTTTACAATTATACCTCATGGCAGTCACTTGAGAAAGTCTAAGAAATGACTTTCTAATTTGATGGGCCATAATTTTAGCTTTAATTAAAAGAATTTCCAAACCTAAGGTATACACAGTTTTAATAATTTGTATGATTGTGCTAACAATAATGCTAGAGTGGTTAGAGTTTGATAAAAATTCTTTACAATCACAGTCCAGTTGTGTTTAGAATAGATGACCGTTAGGGAGATTGCCATCTTCCTCCCATGATGTTGAAGAGCTCAGGCTTCAGATAGTCTATGTTGGCATCTTGCATCCGTCATTTACTGTTTGCCAGAGATGTTTCCTTGGGCCAGTTTCTTACCCCACCTGGACTTTAGTTTCCTTGTCTATAAAATGAGAACTGTAATAGTTCTGACATCATAGTGGTTTTATAAAACTAAATGAGTTTTCTATATGTAAGACAGAATAGTGCCTGGCCCATGGTAATTGTTCAATACTTGATCACCATTATGATCTTCCACTACGTAAATTAGCCTAAAACAGTGTTGTCTGTTTGATCTCACCATCTTCATTCCATTTGTTAGGGTATACACTCTTACACTGTGCTGCAGCTTGGGGTCGTTTGGAAACTTTGAAAGCACTGGTAGAACTGGATGTTGATATAGAAGCTTTGAACTTCCGGGAAGAAAGGGCTCGAGACGTTGCTGCTAGATATTCTCAGACTGAGTGTGTTGAATTCCTGGACTGGGCAGGTAAGCAAGCTCACAAGGGGTTGGCAAACTGACCGATGTGATGAGTTTTTCTCCTGTGAGTTACAGGATATGTCACCTTTTTTCACAGTGTTTTATTTGTAGATACAACCACAGTCATAGTTGACAATAATACATGAAATTTCCCCCTCTTTCTTTATTTTGCTATTGGCCATAAACATTGTATTTATTAGGAACTGTACATATTGGAAGCTTGTTGATTTACCAACTTCTGTCTCACCAATAATTTTCTATGAGAAAATAATTTCTATAAGAAGATTATTGTATGTTCAATATATATGTTCAAGGCCATTGTTTGAGAGACTCAGGCAAAATAGATCATTTCTTAAATGTTTAAAAAAATAGCATATTTGAGTAATATATTTGATTCTTCAAATATAAAAGGTTGTAACAATAATTTTAGAAAGGTTTATTTAGGCTAAATTAATTTATAGTGCTAATAGTCAGAATAGTAGCTACCCTTATGGCATGGGGGAACTTCTGGGATGTGATGTTCTTTTTCTTAATCTGGTTGCTGGTACATGGGTATGTTTCTTTGAAAATTCGTTGAGCTGTACACATAGGTTTTGTATTTTTCTGTTTGTAAGTTATACTTCAATACAAAGTTCAAAAAACAGTACTATTTTGTCTGTTGCTAATATTTTGCATATATACTTCCACAACCCGGTAAAATATAGCTTAAAGAGATTTCAGGAAGATGTACCTTTGTAACTAAGCTAGTGCTTATGAAGTTCACAGCATTTATTTTGCAAGGCTATCTGCATTTCTGTTTTTAGCAAGCATTTATTGAATTTCCATTGTGAGTATAGTATTGCTGTAGATACAATTGGTTGTTCCTGCCCTCTGGATATTTGTTAGGTGGGAGATTATAAGTTATGGACACATTCAACAATTGTTTAAAAATATCAGAAAGACTGTGATTAAAGGTTAAAATTGGCGGAGCCGGTATTCCGTGCTACAGGGTGGTGGGAGAATAGGAAGTCAGAGCATGTTGGGCTTGAGCTGGGCCTTGAAGAATGGATGGGATTTGAATATGCAATATAAAGGGAAAGGGCATGAGCAAAATCTTAGAGCTGTGAGTGAAAGTGGCGTGTTGGAGGATGGTGACAAGATTGCCTTATTGAGCAGTGGGTCATAGTTTCCACAGGTAGGCTATAACGTAGGTAGAATAATAAAAGGGTTAAGTACATGTCCTCTTGAGATTGAGTTTAAATACTGGTGTCCCTACTTGAAACTTATGTGACCTTGGACAAGGTGCTTAAATTCTCTATACCTCAGTTTTCTTCTCTGAAAAAGGGGCCAATAATATAGTTCCCACCTTTTGAGGATTACTGTGAAAATTAAATGAGATGATATAAAGCAGTTACCACAATACCTGGCATTTGGTCAGCACTTGAAAAATGCTGCTGCTTTTATTACACCGTACCCTTAAATGCTTGGCTAAGGTGTTTTTATTTTATTCTGGGAGCCACTGAAAGTTTTTATGTGGAACAGGAAGAGGATGAAAGTGATCTTGAGGAAGATTCAGCTGGTAGTGGTAAGGTGCATGTTCATCAATAGAATGAGAAAGGGACTAGAATAATTAGTATAAATAAGGAAATTAAAGGAAGGAAACACATTTGGGAAGAAAGAGATGAATTGTGCTTTGTAGATTATAATTAACTGTCCACTTGAACTGTTTTCTATAAGCAATCTTATGTCAATATCTTTTATTTTTATGATTTGATCTGTAAGTAAAATGAAAACACAAATAACAAATAATTCAGTTGATCCCCTCATGATTAGTAATTTTAGGTGAAATTCACATTCCATAATTTTTCTTTTTTTTTTTGAGATGGAGTTTCGCTCTTGTTGCCCCAGTTAGAGTACAATGGCATGATCTCGACTCACTGCAACCTCTGCCTTCTGGGTTCAAGTGATTCTCCTGCCTCAGCCTCCCAAGTAGCTGGTATTACAGGCATGCGCCACTATGCCTGGCTAATTTTTGTATTTTTTAGTAGAGACAGGGTTTCGCCATGTTGGTCAGGCTGGTCTCGAACTCCTGACCTCATCATCCGCCCTCCTCAGCCTCCCAAAGTGCTGGGATTATAGGCATGAGCCACCATGCCCAGCCCACATTCCATAATTTAAAATCCATTTTGGAAAAATGACCCATAGTACTTAAAAATCACAATTCAAGGACAAAGTTTGCTGTAACTTTTCTGAGAAGTTTTTTGGGGCTTATGGGTGTGAGGTATTATTGGTTTCCTTCTTCATAATATCCATCTGTTTAATTTGGGTCCTTAGGTTCTTGGAGCAATTATACCTAATATGTCTCAGTGGTGAAAAGAAATGAAAACTATAAAAAGCAAACTAGTATTGTGTTTCCAGATCAATGATTAAATTAATATTGGAGTTTCATAGAAATGTAGCTGTGGAATGTCAGAAACATAAATAACTCAATATAAAATTTAACATTTATATAATTCAGCCTTACTATTTGTTTAATTCAGTCTTATTCAGAATGGAGTTTCATAGTAATGTGGCTGTGGAATGTCAGAAACATAAATAACAGAAAATTTAACATTTATTTAATTCAGTCTTATCAAGAATGTATATCACTTCTATTTCTTCTAGTGATTAGAGTAGGAGTTACCTGGGGAGAATTAAAGGATTCAGAAATCCCTACCCCAAATAGTCTTCTCCATTCTACTGAAAATTCCAGTAGTAGAGATAAGATAAATTTCTTTGGGTTTTAGAGGTTTGGGGATTTTTTAAGTCTTCAATAGTTCACCATTAAAATAAATATATATTAATGTTCTTTTAGAGGGAATTAGCTAACTTTTCAGAACTCTGAAGGTATGAAACAAACATTTATAGAAATGTGAAGGTCAGGTTGTGCTAAGATGGAATGGAGGTAAAGGGAGTCTGGAAAGTGGAACAAAATAAACCTTTCATAATCCATAGTAGCCCAAGCCAGGTGCTATTCTTTTCTGCTACTTATAAAACTGTAAAGTTTATTACTGTTTCAAGGATTAGTTTTGAAAAGTTTTTTTCCTCTCTTATAATGATGGCAGATATGTTATAGATATATTTTTCTGGGATTTTTCAAGATATTTTAAGTCAAATCATCTGTCCCAGTCTCAGGCCTATCTCCTAGTTGTTCTTTGAAAAATATGGTAACCATAGTTTAAAAAATTGAATTGTCTTTTCAACAAAAGCCTGAAATTAAAAAAAGTTAATCTATAATTCATCATTATACTGAAAATGAAAACATTTATACTTAAAAAATTAATATATTCTTTAATATTTCCATGCTATTTTAGCAATCTGAAGTAGGAAATTAAAAGTCTTTCTGTGGTTATAAAATTTTCTCAGGAAGGCTGAGTGCAGTGGCTCACGCCTGTAATCCCAGTACTTTGGGAAGCCAAAACGGGTGGATCACTTGAGGTCAGGAGTTCAAGACCAGCCTGGCCAAGATGGTGAAACCCCATCTCTACCAAAAATACAAAAATTAGCTGGGCACGGTGGCAAGAGCCTGTAATCCTAGCTACTCGGGAGGCTGAGGCAGGAGAATTGCTTGAACCAGGGTGGCAGAGCTTGCAGTGAGCCGAGATGGAGCCACTGCATTCCAGCCTGGGTGACATAATGAGACTCTGTCTCAGAAAAAAAAAAAAAAAAAATCTCAGGAAAATAAGACAAATCACAGCTATTATTTATCAGAGATTTATTGAAACACTAAATTAAGCTTCTGTTATATACATTGGTTAATGATTAGTAATCTAACACATTAAAAATAACAAAATACTTAAACATGTAGCAGTGATAGTGTATGTTGGGAACAGGTGGTCGGAGTCACACAAATCAACACTGAGACAAAGGATCTCTTAGCAAGGCTAGTTTACTTTCTGCAGAAAGGGTGCTGCTCACTAGCAGTCTTGCCACAAGGGCACACACGAACAAAAGAGACAGGGTCATTTATAACCTGGTGCATCCATCCTACTGCTGTGTCCGGTTTCCACTGGCTGGAACAGGACCTCACATTCTGTACTCGACCTGATTGGCTAGCAACTTAGAACTTCCCAAAAGAGGCAAAGGCAGAGGAGAACAAAGGAAGAGAGGAAGTAACTTTTGGAATGCTGAGAGAGGCAAAAACACTTCCAAATAAGGAAAGAGGAACAGGCTATGACCTAATGCTTGATTGGACCTGTTCAGGCAAGCCAGGGCAAATATCTAGGCTAAAATGTGGAGCTAAGAACAGAGTATATTGATTTCTTTATTACAACTAGCAGAATTTAAGAATATTAGCACAGGTCTTTGAGTAAATTTTGCTTCTAAGAGAGGTTACTATCTATTCTGAATTAGACTGAGAGGAATGTCCCTTTGAAGAGGAACCTGTATTTCATTTTCTACAATTCCCCCCTCTTTTATTTTATAATTCCTCTTTAAACTTGTTTAACATGTCTTGACTCAATTGCTCTGTTTGTCCTTCTAAGAGAAGTAATCATTCTGATTAGGGTGGAGGAAAGTTAGGAATTAGCTTTGTAACAGTGGCAGAGACAAGTTTTTGTATAAAACTTTGAAGGCAGGGAATAATACAACAGCCTGTGAGAATAAGTATACCAATAACAAGAGGTAATGAGGTGAGAATTGAAGTCAAAATCCCTTTCCATCCACTAAACTAATGTTCTATCTTTTGGAAAAAGGATCATCTAGTCCAGAATTTTTGGCAAGTTCACTGGATAGGGCTGTTAATCCTTGCAGCACTCTTGTTATAGTTCCGTCAGGGGCAGTATTATTAGGCATAAAGGTACAACATTGAGTTTCAATCATGATGCAAACATCTCCCTTTTCTGCTAATATCATATCTAAGGCTATTCTATTTTTCCAGGCCATCTGGCTGCTAATATCATATCTAAGGCTATTCTATTTTTCCAGGCTGGTAGGTCTTAGTTGCTCAGCTATCCCTTTGAAGGAGTCCCTAGTATGATTTACAAATCATT